TCAAAGTCCTTCCCCTTTGTTTGCTGAAACCCCTTTGCTACAAGCCTTGACTTGTAGCGGGTCAGCTCCCCATAATTGTGCCTGAAGATAAGCTTCGAAGAGATTGCCTTCTTCCCAGCAGACAACTCACACAGCTCCCACGTTTCATTTTCCAGCAGGGAGGCGTATTCCTCCTTCACACTCTACTTCCACCTTTCAGCATCGGGCCCGCTTAGTGCATCAGCGAACGCCTTGGGCTCAGGGACGGCTGCCCAGTAGCAGTGCGCTATCTCCTCCTCATTGCACTGCTCAGCCACACTCCCAGCCAGCTCCACATTTTGTGTGGCACCGCGATTATAACTTAGTCTGACAGGTAGGCGCACGTCCCTCCTAGGACGCTCAGGCGGGCATGGAACACGTGGTGCAGCACGTGGCTGCTCCTGCGGCTGCTGCTGCTGTTGCTGCTGTTGCTGCTGCTGCTGCTGTTGCTGCGGCTGCTGCTGCTGCTGCTGCAGTCGTTGCTCCTCCACCTCTGGTTCTCCCCCATCCTTAGTCACCCCAGAGATCTCCTCCTCGGAGACAGAAACCTCCACCTGTCTTAAATGCCGCTGCACCTCATCGGCCTCAACGATCAGCGGTGTAGTTGGAAGCTTCTGCTGCTGCTCCTAATTCCACTCCTTGTAGTACAGAGACTCAAGGAACTTCACATCCCTTGAGACAACCAGCTGCTGGCTGGTCAAGTCCTATAATAGCCAGCCCTTAAGATCCTTGCCAATTTCCAAGAGCACACCCCATCTCCCAGAAGCTTCCAGCTTTCCCCTCTTCTCCTTAGGCACATGAAACACCACCATGCAGCCGTAGGCTCTCAGCATGTTGACTGCAGGTGCACTCCCATACCACTTGGTGTAGGGGACCCACTGCTTGTCCCCCACAGTCGCCAGCACCCTGTTCTTCACAAGAGCGACCTGCATCAGTGGAGTCACCCAAAACGGATCCGGCAGCCCTGCACGCCCAAGGAGAGTGCGAGCACCTTCCTGCAGGGTCCGGTTGAATCGCTCAGCCACGCCGTTCTGCTGAGGGTTGTAGGGCACTGTGAGCTGATGCTGGTTCCATTTCTTCTTCAGCACCGCAACAAATTCAGTGCCAATGAACTCTCCCCCATTGTCCGTGCGGATCACCTTCACCTTGTGTCTGCTCTCCTTTTGAGACCTCGGCATCCACTCCTTAAGAACAGCCGCTGCCACCTCCCCCTTAGTCTTGAGAGGGTAGACCCACACCGCACGCGTGTGGTCATCCACAATGGTCAAGAAGTAGCGGCTGCCCGAGAGAGAAGGGGCCCTCGTAGGGCCTACCATATCCATGTGCACAAGCGCAAGTGGAGCCTTGGCTGGTCCCGTGCTGCTGCTGAAGGGAAACTTTGTGAACTTCATGTCAAGGCATGTAGGGCAGCTCCCAATCTCCTTTGCTGCCCCCTTCACCTCCAATCCCTTCAAGCTCCCATCCTTCACTAACTTCTGCAGCATAGGTACGTTGATGTGACATAGACTCTCGTGCCACGTCTCCCAATCGGCCTCACCACTCCCAGATGAAGCCTTTGCCCATGCAGCTGTCCCATCCACACCAGCAAGCACCTCACCATGTGGCTGCTGTGGCTGCTGCACCTTCTTGACTGCATCCAGGGCCCCATCAGTTGGTGCAGTCTCCTCTCCTCCCGCAGTTGCCTTAGCCATTGCTGCTACCGCTGCCGTTGCTTAAGGAATCCCATTCCAAGGGATGATGGGCAGCTGCCACAGGTCCTTGATGCAGCTGCTCTTCTCCTCCAAATTCCACAACAACATCTTCCCAAGTTTTGCACGGCAGCTGGTTGGGCCAAATGTCACTTTGGCCTTGCTCTTCTGCAGCCGGCGCACAGAAAGAAGGTTAGCGGACAAACCTTCAACCAACAACACGTTCCCAAGCCCCACAAGCTCCCCATTAGCTCCCATCACCTTGGCATTCCCAACACCAATCACAGGGAGCAAAGCACCTGAAGCGGCAGCCACAAACTTGATCTTCCCAGGGGGCTTTACCTCATCAAGCAAATCTGCCCGTGGGGTCATGTGACTTGTGCAACCTGAATCTATCACCCAGTGAGTGAGGGGGTGCATCACAACCTTCCCAACTGAACCCACATCACCCTCACTCCCATTCACATCCTCAACCATGAGGAACATCCCATGGAGGCTTTACCTTGTGCACCTTCACCTTGTGCACCTGAACCTTGCACAGCACCACCTCGTGCGCGTTCACCACTTGGCGGCTTCATGCCTGGAGGCGCCCATCCCTCAGGCCGGCTGAAACACTTGAACCATGGGTGTCCAGCCTTCTTGCAGTACCTCCATTTGGGTGCTCCCCCTGCCACCAGAGCTCCCATGCCCCTCATTGTAGTCACTTCGAACTGTCCCTCTGCCAAAGCCGATCCCACGGCCTCGGCCCCTCCCACCCCCTCTTCCTCTACTGCCTCCTGCAGCACCATACCCCTCAGCAGTCTTGTTGGCAGCACCGCCTCCTGTATGGCGCCTACAAAAGTCCTCGTGCTGAATCTGCTGCCGTAGCCACTCAGGTGTCCACTGGTCCTGCTGAGCGTTGAGGGTGGGGATGAGGTTGTCCCACGAGTTGTCGAGCACCGAGATGATCTTGGTGCACTGCTGCATCTGCGACACCTTGCTGCCCGCCGCTGCCATCCTCGCATAGGTGTCCTTGATTTTATCAAGCACCGTCTTCACATCGTCTCCCGGTTGCAGGGAGAGGGTAGCCAGCTCCTTCTCCAACACAATCACCATGAGCAAGGAAGTAACGCAAAGCGATGTGCTTCGTTCTGTGCTCCAGTCTATGCTGCTGGCACAAGGCAATAGCGGCCTTGTTGTCTACGTACAGAACTGGAGGAGAACGAGGCCACTCACCCAAGTCGGTCAGCAGGTAGGTGAGCCAGCGTAACTCCTGTGCAGCCATGGCTCCTGCATAGATCTCAGCCTCACAACTGGAGCTGAGAAATGAAGACGAACGGGTAGACCACCAAGAAACCGAGCCGGAGCCAGGGCTGAAAGTGTAACCCTGTGACGACCGCTGCGTAGCCAGGTCGTCAACCTAAGAGGCGTCTGTGAGAACAACTGAACTCCGTCCTCCAAGCACAAGCCCCATGCTTGATGTACTGCACAAGTAGCGTAACACCCTCTTAGCGGCCTCCCAGTGTTGTGGTTGGTGTCTCCCAGGTGCAACGTAGCGAGCCAGGATGCTAAGAGGGTACGCAAGGTCAGGACGAGTGCAGGTCATCAGGTACATGAGGCACTGGATACGGGCCACTCGGCTCTATGGACTCGTCCAAAGGTGGAGCTGAGAGCGAGTGACCGGTAGGCAGAGGAGTGGACTATGGCGAGGAGAACCGGAAGCCGAAGCGCTGAAGGACCTGGTGCACCATGTGTGACTGAGTCAGAGTGATGGTGCGTTGTGTTCTGTCCCGGGTGATCTGCAAGCCAAGGTAGCTGCGCAGCTCACCCAGGTCAGTGCAAGTGTGTCTCTTCTGCAGCTCCGACTTCACAAGAGCCAGTGCCTCAATGTCAGCACTGGCAAAAACCAAGTCGTCGACATACACGAGGATGTAGAACGGCGGCAGCGAAGTGTCGGTGCGCAAAAACAGCGACGGGTCAGCAGTCGAAGGAGCAAACCCAAGAGCCGCAAGTGTCGTCCTTAGTGTGTCGTGCCACTCACGAGGCGCCTGACGGAGACCGTAGACTGGCCGTCGGAGGCTCCACTGGGTACCCTCAGGAAACGACCCAGTGAAGCCAGGAGGACGGCGCAGCCAGATCTCCTCGTGCAGGCTGCCCCGCAAGAACGCTATGCTGAAGTCAAGAGAGTGAAGCTCGTAGTCACGCTGAGCGGCAACGTGCAGCAAAACTCAAAAAGTGGACATCTTTGGGGTAGGGGAGAAGGTCTAAAAGAAGTCAACTCCCTGTCGCTGACTGAAGCCTCGTGCAATGTAACGAGCCTTGAAGACAGGCGGAGAACCAGGCGGCCGCTTCACCCTGAAAATCCACATGCCATCGACTATGTTCGCTCCAGGAGGGGGAACCGCGTCAACGTAAGTGCCTGTGGACTTCCAAGATGCCATCTATGCGTCCATGGCTGTCTGCCACTGAGAGGAGTAGGGACCCAAAATCGCCTCTGCAAAAGAGCGCGGCGTCGCGATGTTTAGTGCATCCGGGTCTCCCTCAGGTGCAAGCAGCATGGCCACGAGATGAGGTACAGCAGCTGCAAGACACTCAAAGTCCTCCTGCCTTTCTTCAAGGACGTTCGTGCCCAGAGCACACTCACCCCCGACGGACGGAGGACAAACAGACTCAGACTCAGCAACAAGACTAGTGGCGTAGTCTAGACGACACGCAGCAGCAAAGTCAACAAGCTCAGCAACTAAGGCAGACGCAGCAGTGGACTCAAAAGAAGGGTCAGTGACAACAGTGGCTAGAAGACATGTAACATTAGGGCTGGCTGTACGAACCAAGTCCAACTCAAGGTCCGGAACGTCAGGAAGAGAGGAAGCCGGTGGAGACGGCAGGGGAACTTGCTGTGGAACAGAGGAAGGACGGAGTGCCATGGTGTGCATGCTAGGGACAGGTGGAAGACGAGGATGGGGAATACGACAAGCACGGCGAACTGTGCGAACAGGGGAGGCAGGATGAGACGCAGGCTCACGACGCTCTGTAAGGGAGGCTGGCTGCTCAGTGTAACGAGGGGGGGCAGGCAGCGTGATTCAGGAGGAAGGTTAGTGGACGAAGGAAGACTAAAAACCTGACGGAGCACCGAGTCAGGCGGTAGCAGTGACAGCTGCAGCGGCGGCAAGAAAAACGGTCGCTGCTGCACAGTGCCTCCAGCACCAGTACCGGCAACTCCAGCGCCTCCAGGGTCAGCACCTTCAGCTCTAGTGCCTCCAGCTCCACCACCTCCATCTCCAGGGTCTCTAGCACCAGCGCCACCAGCTCCGGGGTCTACAACTCAAGCGCCTCCAGCTCCAGCGTCTCCAGTGACAGCGCCCCCAGCTCCAGTGCCCCCGGCTCCTGTGCCTCCAGCTCCAGCGCCTCCAGCGCTAGCGCGTCCAGCTCCAGTGCCTCCAGCTCCAACGCCTCCAGCTCCAACGCCTCTAGCTTCAGCGCGTCCAGGGCCAGCGCCTCCAGCTCTAGCGCCTCCAGCTCCAGCGCCTCCAGCTCCAGCGGCTCCAGCCGCAGTGCCTCCAGCGCCAGCGTCTACAGTGGCAGTGCCTCCAGCTCCAGCAGCGCCACTCCGAAGGCGGGTGCGCCGAGCAAACCACTCGCGCAGCTGCTGTGGTGAGAGAGGCTCCCGCTGGCTAGACGACTGCGGCGAGGCACCCGTAGCACCTCCAGCAGATGCAGGACCCCTAGGCACAGCACCCCGAGGCTCAGCACCCGCAGGCTCAGCACCCCCAGACTCAGAACCCCCAGCCTCAACACCCCGAGCCCCCTCACCCCCAGGCTCTACACCCCCAGGCTCCGAACCCCCAGGCTCCGCACCTCCAGGCTCAGCACCCCCAGGCTCCGCACGCTCAGGCTCAGCACCCCCAGGCTCCGAACCTGCAGGCTCAACACCCCCAGACGCAGCACCCCGAGCAGCACCAGAGTCGCTAGTGACCTCGACAAGCTCAGCCAAGGGGAGTGGGTCTACCTGAGACAAACCGGAAGGAGCAGGACCCTTGGGGGGGGAAGGGGGCCTAACGGAGGGGGATCTGGAGCGAGGAAGAGCGGCCGGGGGGGGAGGGAGAGGGGCAGTGCGGTAGGGGAAGAGACAGTAAAAGGGAACCGACTCGTCAAACGTGACGTCCTGAGAGGACAAAACAGGGCGTGAGGTGGGGTGGTAAAACTGCCAGCCAGGCGCGTCACGGGGGAAGCCAAGGAAGACACAGGGAATGGCGCGGGAGGAGAGCTTGTCCGCGGAGGTATCACAGACAAAGGCACGAGCGCCCCAAACCCGCGACACCAACGCATTGCCAACCTCCCCCGTCCAACACATGTAGGCGAGGTTTCCGACATGGAGACACGGGGCCAGAGGTTGAGCTGATGCGCAGCGTACCGGACCGCAAACGGCCATAGAAAATGGGGAGCAGCCGCATGGATCATCGAGGCACGAGCCACCTCCATGACTAAGCCAATGCGGCGCTCAGCAACCCCATTCTGCTGCGGGGAGGCCGGAAGCGTGAACGACTGGAGGATGCCCTCCCCACGACAAAAGTCCCGCAAGAGGTCGGAGGAGAACTCACCACCTCTGTCAGAGTGCAGACGCAGGACAGGAAGGTCTTCGCGGAACCGCTCGCGGAGCTGGAGACGGACTGCACGAATCCAAGGGATCAAAACATCAGGGACCTCCCCCTTGCTGTGCAAGGGGAAGACCGTGGTGTAACGCGTGTAGTCGTCAACAACCAGCAGAAAATACCGCACGCGGTCCTGTCTACGGATGTGGGCTGGGTCCCACACGTCCATGTGGAGAGTCTGCAGGAGAGCAATCCTCGGGGGAAACGAAGAGGAGTGAGGAGCGGCGCGCTGCCGCCCCTCAACGCAAGGAAGGCAGGGCGGGGCAGGCAAGGGCAGGAGGAGAGGCAGAGACCTGGGAAGACCAGAAACAAGGAGGCGGGAGTGCATGCCATGGAGGCGTGGCAGGGAGGGGTGACCAAGGCGGTGGTGCCAAAGGAGAGTCTGGTGCGATAGGAGGCGACACGAACATGGGGCGGCTACCTGACCTGACGCGGACACCTGACCAGACGCAGCTACCTGAGCAGGCTCTGTAGTCTGTGTGTATAGACTCGACCCAGGCCGACGGGTGAACGTGGCCAGGTGACGGCCCGTCCGTGCACACGTGCAGATCGCCACACGCTGACCCCAAGGAGTGGTGATAGTGACCATCTCATCCTCGAGGGCAGCGATACTCACCAAGTTTGTAGAGAACGAGGGGAGGTGAAGACCTGAGAGTGAGCCAAATGGAACTGCCAGACACAAGGGAACAGTGGAGGAACGTGCAAGAACTGGGCCCCCTGAGGGGTCAGCCAGTCGGAGTGCAACAGGTGCAGGGAGTGGTGTGAGTGTGGTACTATTGCGAAAGAAACAGCGGGAAGCACCTGAGTCAAGCGTGAAGGTGTGCAAGGCCTCAGCAAGCGCAGTACCAGAGAGAGCAGACTCACTAGCACCTAGAGCAGCAGCCTCTATACCTGGGTCGGGCGGCACACACAAGTAACAGTCACCCTCAGCACTAACAGTCAAAGCATACATGGCAGCAAGGATAGCATCATAGTCAAGAGCAAAGATATCAACACCAGACCTAAGCAGCTCTAGCTAGCCGGGGAGCTCTGCCTCGTCGCCAAACTCAGCGCACCAAGCGTCGTCAAGGCGGGAGAAGCAGCGGTGCTGGGTGTGTGTGATACTTCCCGCATGTCTGACTAGCGCGGTCACCTGTGCGGATGACGTACGGGCAGCGAACACTACCCCCAGACGCCCCACGTGGAGCAAACCACTCACAAAGCTGCTGGGATGAAGCGGTCTCGCGCGGACGCTGTTGCTGCTGCCACTGGCCACCGCCAGAACCTCCCCTCTGAACGGCTCCACCCCGACCACCACCACTGCCGCCGCCACCACTCCCACTGCTACCACCACCACCGCCGCCACCACTCCTACTGCTGCCACCACCGCCACCACCACTCCAACCGCTGCCGCCACCGCCGCCACCGACGCCCCCACTCCCGCCACCACTACCACCGCCACCTCAGCCACCTCCACCGCCTCCACTGCCTCCACCACCACCCCCCCCCCCCGCTGCCACCTCCACCACTCTTGCCTCCCTTGCCCTTGCCGTTGCGGAGCTTCCCACTAGGAGCAGAAGCAGCACCAACCTCCTCAGCACCAAGGAAGTCAACAGCAGCAGCAGAAGCGTTGGAGGGGGCAAGGGGGGAGGGGGAGCACCCCTCAAAGAGGGGCATGCGAGGAGTGTCACGAGCAGCACCTACAGCGACTATGCTAGTCTCAGCTGCAAGGAGGTGCTCCTCGAGCAGGTCGACAGTGAGGTCTGTGGGGTCAAGGGCGAGAAAGTGGTCCCTGACAGCACGAAGAGAGTCAGGGAGGTGTCTGCGCCTGACGAGCCACATCGACTTCGGGATACCAGCCCGCAGTCGCCTTCGCCATCGCGACCTCGACTGTTGGTGTAAGGGCCTAATAAACTCAAGCTATTAGGACTTAATCAAACTTAAAACCTCTCCTTGGGGTCACCTCCAAGGGTCCCTGGGTGCCTGGTACAAGACCAGCCCCTATCCTCGGGTCCGAGTTTGTAGAGAGAGGGATCAAGAAGGACTTAGTCAAAACAGCAAGAGTACCTTGAACGTCGCGCAGCGTGCCATGCAGACCGTCGGTCGGATTAAGCTGAGAATTCGCTATATCGAAGCTCGCTCCAAGAGCTTTAAAATGAGCCAAGTTGCCTCGCGAAAAGTTCTGCCATTACTAAGTTATGGCTCGGACAGCGTTTGCCTAGCGTTGGAGTGCTAGCATACTAGCGTTGACTCGGGTAGCATTCCGCCGTCGAATAGCGCAGAAACGAAATTCCAGCGAGGAAGGAATTCGCTTGAATCAATTTGACTATATTCAGGTACAAACAGAGAAGGATTAAATAGTTCTAGCTAGCAAGGACCTTGGGAATCAACCTGGGAACAACCAGGGATGATCCCAAATAATTCCAAGCAACAGAACCAACCTGGCTGGACAAAATAGCAGGTGGTAGGTTGGTAAACAACCTCTGGTTCTGTTTTTCCAACCTGGGAAAAAAACAACCAGGTTCAGGTTCTAAAAACAGAACCTGTTTTGTCTTTGCCCAACCAGCCAAATGCTGGTTCCGCTGGTTTCCCCTGGCCTTGTAGCATGCAGATACAGACAAACAACATCCAACCTTCACCTAAATTGTACCCCTATAGTGCCTTCCCTGCTACACTATAGTTAACCAAACAAAACAGTACAATTTCGAGTTGGATAGAACTGAATCTGCGCAATCAACTCAACCGAACTGCAAAGCTTCCATCTTGGGTTCCTTTGCGAGCTCGTCCTTTCTGCTTGCACTGTTCATAGCGCGTACAATGTTGTGCCGAAGAGCACATTGCGCGAGTACCTGCAAATGCATCAAGCGAAAAATGCGAAAGCAAACAAACACACGAACACACCATTCACACGCAAATGCATTCGCACACGCATACTCGTACAAACAGACGGCAGGATGTCGTGCAATGTGCATTTGCACCCAACACACTCCCCCTCAGCCTGCCGGCTGCTTCCCCATCATTCCATGCTAGTTCATGCTCATTCCACTCATGCGCACACAACGCCAATGAGGCTCATCCGCAAGCCTCTTGGTGAGAAAGTCTGCTGGCTGCTGGTGAGTCTTGATGTAGATTGGATTCACCGTCCCCCTCTTCACCTCCTTACGCAGCCAGTGCCACTTGATACGCATGTGCTTGTTCAGCCCATGAAGCACAGCGTTTCTGGCCATCCCAAGAGCCCCCTTGCTATCACAAAACAACGGCGTAGCAACTTTCTGCTCCTGGCCAATCTCCTCTAACAGCCTCCTCAGCCAAATCACCTCCTTCACCCCATGGAACATCGCCATGTACTCTGATTCTACGGAAGAGAGTGCCGTCTCCGTCTGCTTCTTGGACCTCCAACTAACAGGTCCTCCCCCAACTACGCAGATGTATCCTCCCACAGATGAGGAATCCTCCTTCTCAGAAGCCCACGTAGCATCGGTAAAGCAAGTGAGAAATAGCTTGCCTTCTCCAAGCCTCTCCCCCTTCTCTTTCAGCACCTCCACCCCTTTCTGCTTCACCTGTGCAGATGCGGAGTATTGAACTCCAATGCTTGGGTGAGAGTTCAGGTACTTCACCACACGCTCAGCTGCATCCACCTGCTCCTCTGATGGATTCTGCACCACCCTAGCCAGCTGCCCAACCGAGAAAGAGATGTCGGGCCTCGTGTGAACTGCTGCGTACAAGAGGCTGCCCACCAAGGACTGAAATTGCTGCTGCTCTTCAGCTTCAACCCCTTCATCCTCTGCAGCCTTCACAAGCTTGAATTCTGCTGGCAGGGGAGTTGCAACCTTGCGCTCATTCTCAATCCCATACTTCTCCCCCAGCTCCTTGATGAACTTCTCCTGGTGCAGCTTCAACCACCTGTGATCAGGATCCCTCTCCACGTGCATCCCGAGGTAGTACTTTACCTCCCCAAGGTTCTTGCACTTGAAGTTTTCCATCAGTTGCTGCTGCACTTTCTGGATCTCCTTCATGCTGCTGCTGAAGAGAAGAATGTCGTCCACATAGACCAGAAACAGCACCAGCTTCTCCCCCTCGCCCTTGAGAAAGAGGCTCTCATCACAGCTGCTGGTCCTGAATCCCATCTCCTCTAAAACAGCTGCCAACTTCTGGTACCAGCAGCGTGGCGCCTGCTTCAAGCCGTAGATGGACTTGTTGAGCTTGCACACCCTGCCCGTACCATCCTCATACCCAGGCGGCTGCGTCATGTACACATCCTCCTCTAAAATCCCATTCAGGAATGCCGTTGAAATATCCATCTGAATGATGAATTTCCCACTAACAGCTGCATCTGCCAACAAGACACGGAGGGTAGGGGGTTTGGCAGTGGGAGCAAAGATCTCGTTGAAGTCCTGCTTCTCCTTCTGCATAAACCCCTTCGCCACCAGCCTACTCTTGTAGATGGTGACCTGCCCCTTGTCATCGGTCTTGATCCTCAGCACCCACTTGCATTGTATCGCTTTCTTCCCATCAGGCAGCACCACCAGATCCCATGTCCTATTCTCCAGCAGACTCTGGTACTCAGCATCCCTAGAAGCCAGCCACTTGTCCCTATCTGGTCCAGCTAATGCCTCCTCCATGCTAGCTGGTTCCTCTGGTGCAGGGGCAAGAAAACAGTACGCAGGCTCATCCTCCTCATCCGGGTCATAGCCATGAGGTAGAATCAGCAATGCCTCTTCGGTCCCTAGCTGCTGCTCTGCTGCATCAGTTCCTGCAGTCAGCTTCTTAGTAGCCATACGGGTACGTCCTGGCCTGGAGACGGGTGTCTCCCATCCCTTCATAACGACACTCTTCAGCTTCTTAGTTTTTCCCTGCTGCTTCTCTCCTCCCTCGGGTCCAGCAGCTCCACTAGTGCTGCCGCCAGTTTCCACACCATTTTCTCCACCAGCAGATGCCTCCTGTACCTTCTCTCCATCACCATTTCCAGCAGCTGCCTCCTCTCCCTCCTCCCACACACTAGGAGTCAGGTCCAGCTGCATGGTGATCTGCTCCATCTGCTGGGACACCCTTGCCTCCGGCTGTTTCTCCCAGCTCCCATACATCATGCCCTCAATGAATTTCACATCCCTGCTGTCAAACAACACACCCTTGGATGGTTCCCACAGCAGCCATCCCTTGCTCTCAGCAGCCAGCCCCAAATGCACACACCAGATTGCACTCGCCCCCAACTTACTGCGGTAGGTCTTGGGGACGTGGGCGACTGCCATGCAACCGAACACCCTCAGCATGTCCACCGGCGGCTTCCTCCCAAGCCACCTCTCCAAAGGCACCCACGAGTCATCCCCAACCTTGGTGAGCACCCTGTTCCTAGCGACGGTGGCGTGCCGGACAGCATGAGGCCACATAGAGTTGCTCAGCCCAGATTCTATGAGCAGCGCCCTAGCTGTCTCCAGAATGGTCCGGTTTGCCCGTTCTGCTACACCATTGGACTGTGGGGTATAAGCCGTGGTCAGCTCTCTCTGGATGCCCTGCTTCTTGAGCCAGGCCGTCATTTCAGCTCCAAGGAACTCACCACCCCGGTCTGTCCTAATCCGCTTCACTACACACTCCGCCTGCTTCTCCACGAATGGCAGCCAATCGTCCCGTATCGTGGAGGCGGCGTGGTCCTTCTGCTTCAGCGGATACGCCCACATCAGCCTGCTCCAGTCATCCACAATTGTAAGAAAATACCGCTCCCCCTTGTGCCCTTGCACCGGCAGCGGCCCCACCAAGTCCATGTGGACCAGCTCCAAAGGCTTCTTGCTCCTGCCAGCCACACTATGGAAAGGGAAACGGGTGAACTTTGAAAGCAAACAGATTTCACAGTTGTCATCGGGTGGCTGTCCGTTCAGCTTCAGACCCTTAACGGCTCCATCCTTCTCCAGCTGCTTCAGCAAAGGCATTGCCACATGCCCTAAGCGCCGGTGTGCCGTTGCCCAATCTGTCTCCCCAGATCTGGCCGACACTTTCACACCAACCCCTCCAACGGCATTGCACTCCCCCTGGGATGCAGACCCCTCTCCAGCCTGCCCCCCACCATGCCACGCCAGGGCCGGCAGCTGCCACATAGATCTGTACACGTCCTTGCTCTCGTGCAGATCCCAAAGCACCCGATTGCCCAGCTGCCCCTTATAAGTGCGTGCCCCATCCGTGTTGGTGTTCACCCCAGCCTTGCCAAGCTTACGGAGGGAGATAAGGTTGGCCTTCAGGTCGGGGACGAAGAGAACGTCGTGCAGCACCACCGGCTTGCCATCCGCTCCCTTAAACGCAGCTCGTCCCGCACCAGCCACCTTCAACATGTGTCCAGAGGCGGAGCACACTTCATTGATCGGTGCAGCTCGTACTTCGTCCAGCAGGTCCTTGCGCGGCGTCATCGTCCAAGCAGCGCCTGTGTCCAACACCCAATAGTCTAGGGGGTGCAGCTCTGCTCCAACTTTGGCAGAGGCGTCTCCTTGCTCCCCCTTGTCTCCCACATGAAAGAATTGGCCCGCGGTGCGCTCCTTCTTCTTCTCCGCACCGCCGTTGCCCTTCGGGTTGTTGTCGGACGAATCAGCGACCATGTTGGCGCCGTTTTTCTGGTTCCTCCGCGCGCCGCCATCCTGGTGACGATTCTGGGGGGTCCATCCATCGGGTTTCTTATAGCACAAAAACCAGGGGTGCCCTTCCTTCTCACAATACCAGCAACTCCCTTTCATTTTGCCACCAGCACCCGACTTGCCCCCACGTCCAGATTTCGCACCGCGACCCCAACCGGTACCTCCTTGTTGGTCGTTGGAGTCGTCGTCTTTCTTTGCACCGCGTCCAGCACCACCGAAGCCACG